TCCGTAGAGTCGGCTCCAAAACGCAAAGCCGGCTTTGTGAGTTTGCTGCACATTCTGTTTTCTTCCACAGTCGACTGCAAAAAACCTAGAGCCAACTTTGGTATTCTGACTTTAAAAAATATTAATTATTCTTCAAATAAGTCGACCGTTGTGCATTAAATACGCCCTTACAGTCGGTTGCAAAGTTAGAGTCGCTCTGCATCTTTTCTTCCCACGTGCCAAACAACGGACCTTTAAATCTTTACCCGTAAAGCCGGCTGCAGCTTTTAAGAGCCAGCTCTCTACACATTTTCAATCCTTTTGGTCTATTTTTAGTGCAGTCCAAGTTTACTTGCAATCTTTTAGCAACTTAACTACACACTTAAATAAACCAATTAGTCACTCAAATGTGTTTGTAACCATCAAAATCATAGGTACAACAAGCTATCCCATGACTATCACTGAGCTTGTTGTTGCATTACCAATCAATGTGGCTAAAGCTTCCTTCATCCATCGCCTCATGCGCATTTTGGCTCACTCTGGCTTCTTCACAAAGCAAAGTTAGGGGAAAACAACCAAGAAGATGGCTATTTTCTCAGCCATTCCTCTCGCCTCCTTCTTAAGAATGAACCCATGAGTCTAACCCCTTTTTTAAACGCAATGTTCGATCCCATTTTGACAAAGCCTTGGTATCATTTAGCCTTATGGCTCCAAAATGACAACGATGTTAATGCTTTCGCCAGAAAACATGGAACCACCTTTTGGGAATATCTAAGCCATGAGCCAAAGTTAAACCATTCCTTCAATGATGCAATGGCTAGCGATAGTCAATTGATTAGCAGAGTCTTAATTGACAACCACAAAAATGTCTTTGAGGGACTAAGCTCATTAGTTGATGTTGGAGGGGTAGGAACTTTGGCCAAGGCCGTTGCTGATGCGTTTCCGCACTTGGACTGTGTTGTGTTTGATCTTCCTCATGTTGTGGCAGACATACAATGCAAAAACAACTTGAAGTATGTTGCAGGAAACATGTTTGATGAAATTCCACCAGCAAATGTAGTGATACTAAAGGTATACGAATTGAATATCAAACATCTTCAATCATCAAAACTATACTCCCTCTATCCCAAAATAAGTGTCTTTCTTTTCTTTTTCTTTTTCTTTTTTTTTTTTACTTTTTTTTCCCAAATTAAGAATTTAGGGGTAATTCATGTATTTACTTATATTACTCTTAAGAATAAGTTAAAAGATAAAGTTATAATTTTTTATTTTTTGTAATAGGATAATTAATTAAAATTAAATAAATAATTATAGGGTTAAACAATGAAAAAATATTTGTTTATCTAAGAAAAATGAAAAGGCAACAATTAATATGGGATGAACTCAAAATGAAAACAATAGTTTTTTTGAGACAAAGTATATATTTTCATTGTTTTTGTTTGATTTAATATACATATATATATATATATATATTATGATAGTGGATTTTACATGACTGGAGTGATGAAGAATGTTTGCAAATACTTAAGCGCTGCAAAGAGGCTATAAAGAAGAATGGGAAGAGTACTGGGAAGCTTATCATAATAGATGTGGTGATGAAGGATAAGGGAGATGAGAAATTGATTGAAACACATCTTTTCTTTGACATGCTGATGATGGCGTTGGTTACAAGAAAGGAGAGAAATGAAGAAGAATGGGCAAAACTTTTCTCTGATGCTGGTTTTAGTGCCTATAAATTACTTCCTATATTGGGTGTAAGGTCTCTCATTGAGGTTTACCCTTAAAAAGTATTGTGTTTTGATCATATTTTCCAATCCCAAATTTTTGGGACCCAATTTTAAGACAAATTATTTCAGCCATTACTAAGTGAGTTCATATGAGAACCACACCATGATGAATGATTTTCATAAATTCATCTTAAATTTTGCTCCTATCTCTATTCATGTCTCTAGTAGTAATAGATTTCATTTTTTTTTTCTTTTCACTTTGATATAAATTAGGACAAATAATGTGATCTTAACTTAATAAATTTCTCTTGTGTATGTTCTTGTTTATTTTTCACTCACAAATTGCAATAGTTTCTTGACTGGTAATGATTGTAACACAATACATAGTGTATTATAATATGTTTTAAGAATAATGATTTTTGGATCAATTTTTAGAATGAAATTGTTTCCATAGTTGATTATGTGAGTTTAGGGTTCACACCTAGATCAATGCTACCATCTCTATGGACACAAATAAAGTTCCAACCCTAATAGATTATTGCAATTTTAGTGCTTTCTTTAGAATCTCCACTACTCTTCTCAAGTGTTTTCCCAGAAAAAAGTGGAGCTAAATTGTTTTGTCCCTTTTCTCACACTAGAGATGACACCCCGTGTTCTAGGGTGTGTTGTTTGGGCCATCTTAGGATGGGCCAAAGAAGGCTCTTTTAATGAAAAATATATCTATACATGTAAGTTATTATGTCTGAAAGTTTCTATATATTTAAACTGTTACTTTCTAGTTGGACAACCCCATGCTGCACGGTGTGGAACCAAATAATAAAGACATTATAATCTTGAAAGAAATAGAAAGAGAGACAAAATATATATATATATATATATTGTAAATGGAATATATGATTCAAAAAATAAAAAATTGACCTCATTGAACCACCAATGGAGATCCTCCCTCCTTCATTTTGGTTCTTCTACGTTTTTGATGGATCTCAATAAGATTTAACTCAAACACACCATAGGAGAAGACCTAGAGCCAACGGTGATCTTTTCTCTTTGAGTCTTGACCGTCACCCTCATTGTCTCTTTTTCTTCACTTGTTAACCATCTTGATAGGGAATGAGAAAGGCAGTAGATAGAACAATTGAGCTAAAAGTGTTTGGCTAAGGAAGAAGAAGAAAGGAAGGGAAGGCTAAAATGAGTGGCGGTGAGAAGAAGGTGGATATGACTGAAGAAAGGGCTCTATGGTGGGAGAGGGGACAAGGATTGGAATGGATGAGGAAAGGAAATGGAAAACAACAAAAATGCAAGCTTAGTGTATCCGAGTCAATTCATCAGATATTCAATTTTTGACCAAAAATTCCCACTCTTGTGTTAAGCTTTTCTGCAATCCATAATCCAATTCCAAAGGCAAACATGAAAAGTGAAACAATTGAATATATGATTTAACAAAGCATCATTATTTTAAGGCAGAAAAGGACTAAAAACACAAATTCAAGTGCATTGACACTAGAATAAAACATGAGGACAAAAGAGAAAAATGACTTTTGATTAACATAATTATTCTAAATACCAATTTCACCCCTTGTCGAAATAAAGAGAAGAGCAAGGTTCAAGAATTAAAAAGGAAACTACATAAATATTTTTGTAAGAAGCCCAAGAGACAACAGAGCACAGTGGAGAAAGAAACAGTGAAGGGTAAAGAAAAAAAAAAAAAACAACTTACATTGTGATCCGAGGAAGTGCTACTGTTGATTTTGTGAGAGGGAGCCTTCCTCCCATTAACTTTTTTCTTTAATTACTTAATGTGACATTTAAATCTCACACCTTAAATTTAATATAATTAAATTTTTATAAAAAATTAATAATCATTAAACCACAAAGTAATATTTCCCTCATTAACTATTTTGATTCGATACTGACAATAAAAAATGATACCCTGTCAAGAGACATGGCTTTGTCATGTGGGCTCTGCCAGTAGAGTTTGCACCTTGAACTTTGAACCTCAAGTGGTCTTATGTGGAAACCATATTCTTCAAGGCTTCAGTCCTCTTTCTTACAACCAACCACGGTTCATATTTGGACAAAACCCACCAGGTATTGCCATGATAAGACTATTTTTTCTGTCTCTTCTTTCATTTTTCTTATGGTTTTTAACTAAAAACCATTTTTATTTTAAAAGGTCTCAATTGGCATAAAATTTTAGTTTTTGATATTCAAAATCTCATATTTAAATTTTAAATATAAGAGGATTTTGTAAAGCGAAGGGCTAATCGAACTCCACCATTATTTTTATAAAATACGATGATTCTGCTCAATGGATAACCACTTTTAAAAAAAGAGAGTTATCATGGTCATCATCAAATATTAATAGAAAAAAGAAATTCAATAAAAACCTTTGTGACGTCCTAAAATGTAAAAGTATGAATTCCTTGGAATTTTAGTTATTTGCTGGTAAAACTAAATTTTCTTTATTCTGCAGCCATTTTTGTCTTTTACCATTTTAGGGGTTAAGGTGTTTCTGGTAAAACAACGAATACACATTTCAAGACTTTTTTTTTTTTTTTTTTGTTTTATTGTAAGGAAGGATGGTAGAGTTGGGCAAGTTTCCTTACCATATTAGACTTCTCCAGGCTTAGAAAGCCACCTCACTCCAATTTGGCCATTTGTTGGAACCTATCCATCTCATGTTTGCCCATGGGACCAATCACAGCCTGCATAAAATAAACATGATTCTTTTGGCACTTTGTGATTTGCATAAATATGGGCCATGGTAATTTATTTATTTTTTATAAGAATGCCACCAATTCATCAGATGTAAAATGTTAGCCATGGCTGTGATTGGTCCATAGCACTTCTCTTTCTCAAACTTAGCCATTGAATTACGCAATAACTCCTCTCTTTTTTTTCTTTTTCTTTAAGAGATGTAAAATGTTATTCTATTTGTTTCAAAAATAATTGTTATTCTTTGATTTAAGTTTATTTTAAATTAATTTTTTAAAAATAAACAAACGTTTTTTTTTAATTCTATCATTGTTTATTTATTTTGATTAATTATTTTATTATAAAAATCTAATGTTATCTTATAATTTTTTTAAAATAATACAAATAAATATATAAATTATTTATAAATTATTAATTTAGATAAAAAAATAAAAAATAACAATTATTTTATGACCAAAGAGCAATGAGCACAACTTGTTGTGATCACTACTTAGGTGTAAAAATGCATAAATAAAGATAATAATTTTATATTTTTAATATAAAAATGTTAATTT